GGAGGGGGAGATGGAAATATCTTGGGTGGGTGGAGTGTATGAGTAAGTGAGGGTAAACATGGAAGTAGATTGTGGGTGGGGTGTTTGAGTAAGGGTGAGTATGGAAGTTTATGGTGTGTATTAAATAAAATTATTATTTATCAAAATATTAAGGGTGTGCCTTGAATAATGGTTTGCCTTGAGACAAAATATAGGCCTCGTTTGTTTTCAGACATAGAATAGAGGGCATTAATAATGAGGGGATTGTTAATGAGGGGATTAAGTAAAATTGTGTTTGTTTTGATGATAATGTTAGTGTAGGGATTGTCAAATTATTTTTATATAAAATAAATATAAAATAATAAAAAAAACAAAAAAATTAAACATTTATGTTTTAATAAAAATACCCAACATGTAAAAACTTTTAAAAAATAAAAATAAAATAAAAAATTTCTAGAAAAAAATAAAACAAATAAAATAATGATTTTTACTTAACAAAAAATACAAAAAATTAAACATTAATATTTTAAAAAAATGCCCGACATGTAAAAAATAAAAAATAAATAAAAAAAAAAATTTCTAGTCCGCCAAACTATTTTTCTAATACAAAATCCTGGAGGCCCATCCAAATCCCCTTGGGGAGGCCCATCCGAATCCGAAACTCACTATCAATTCCCTCCTTATCTCTCAAAATAAACACAATATTAGTTGGTCCTACCTCACTATCAATCCCAACCTCCTTTCTAACTCTCTAAACAAACGGGGCCATAGTGTGTAAATAGAGGCACCTGTTACTTTGGTTTTTAGCTTTTCAATTGTGACACATTTGACTCTAAATTTTGAATCTAATTCCAAATAAGAACAATTGAAGATACTATTGCTTAATTTCAAGTGTACAATTGTCAATTTGATAAAATATACACTAATTTGACAAGATAAATGTCAAAAAAATATTTTTGAATTTTCAAAAATTATTTCTATCTACTAAAGAGAAAATTATATAAAATTGATAAATCTTTTAGACATTTATTTATTTATTTATTTTTACCAAATTAATTTTTATTATGTGCTTGAATGATGATCATGTAGTGGGTAGTTTTGGATTTTTTGATTTAATGGATTGGTTTAATAATGATATCAAAGTTGGCGTCATATTGACTTTTGAAAAAATAGAAACTAATTTAATGAAAATAAAAACCACCACCCATTACATGATCACCATCCAAACACATAATAAAATTTAATTTGATAAAAAAATAAAAAAATGTCTAAAAGATTTATCAATTTTACATAATTTTCTCTTTAGTAGATAGAAATAATTTTTGAAAATTCAAAAATATTTTTTGACATTTATTTTTGTTAAATTAGTTTATAATTTATCAAATTGATAATTTTGCCCTTGAAATTAAGCAATGACATCTTCAATTGTCCTTATTTGGAACAATGTTTAAAATTCAGAGTTAAATGTGTTACAATCGAAAAGTCAATGACTAAAGTGACACAAATTCCAAACTATAGGGACCGTTAGTGTAAGTTGCCCAATAAGTTGTATAATTTTTTTTAATTTTTTTTTTAATCAGGAACAAAAAATTAATTTTAACATACATTACTAGATATGTGAACAAATTATATTTTATTTTTTTAAATAGATGAAAACTGTGAGTTTAAACTTAAACAATATCCGATTAAAATTAATTTTTTACACAGACGATCTTCACTACAAGACTTATGAGATAAACGGTCCAAATCATCGTTATAAGCCTAAAGTGAGACTCACAAAATAAAATATGAAAAATAATAATATGGAGATTAGTCATTCCTGTAGTGTAGATATCACAAAATTTTCTTTTTCTTCCTTAATTCTTAAACTAACTTTTTGACAATGTGCAATTACATATTTCAAACACACGCATGTGTGTAGTAGTCTTACTTTTCATACGCTATTCGTTCAAAGACTTCCCATTTGATCCTTTGAGCTTTACTATTGGTATTATTCTCACAAATTAGGGGTTGTTTGGCATACACTATTTTAGTCTATCTTTTTATCTTTTTATCTTTTTTGGGTCACATTAATCAGTATCTCCTCTCTATTTTTCTACACATCTTTTTATGAAAAGTCAAAAAATACACTTATTTAGAATATCTCAAACCACCCCTTAGTCATTTAAGTTGTTTTTGGTTCATACATTTAGGAAGTGATTTGAAAAGAAAAAAAAATAAAATATATACATAAAATATATTTTACTTACACCATTATCCTTTAACCAAACACAATGTTAAGAGTCAGTTTAGTTGGAGTTGTATGGCTAGTTTCATCTTCTATTATATTGATTCCCAAATGGCATCACTTTCTATTTCACTTGTACCTAGAGGGCCCTTTTATTTTAATAACAAAGAAAGAGATAATAGGTTTTGATCTCCCGAATTTTTTATCTCGTGTTCTTGCTCTTACAAAAATTTATGGCTTTCAAAAAAAATTTGAAATTTTACATATTTGATGTTAATTTTTTTATCAAATTATTTTTGTATTTAAAATTTAAAAAAAGAAAAAAAGTGAACGTTCAAACTTTTTATTTGATAATTTTTGTAATTTTTATTAAAAAGGTGAATGTTCACATTTTTACTAAATGATTTAATTGTTATAATGTTTTAATAAATTTTATTTATTTATTGAAAATGTAAAATTTCACAATTGCTTTTTTCTAAGAGAGACGAGAGAGAGTTTAAATGGGATAATTACTATAGAAAATGCTAATATTCTACCAAACATAATAGGATAAATTATAACTATAATCCCTAAAGTTTTAACACTTTTTTTGTTTAAGACCCTAAAGTTTTGATTTTATCAATTAAGTCTCTAAAGTAATAAATTTGAATCAATTCAGTTCTGAAAATAATATAAATTTAAAACATAAACCCGAAGGTTATATAAAATTGTTGCAAGGCCCGAATTTTAATTTATTGTTAACTTAATTATCCTCTGCCTATTTTTTTTTTAGAATTGGTATCTTTCTCCAAAATGATTAGTCCAGTTGCTTATATAGGTCTTTATATATTTCTATTCTACTATTATTATTATTTTTTTTTCTAAATACAGAATTACCGTTTTATCTAAATTTTTGACTATTTTTAATATTATTTTATATTTCATTTCATTATGTTTTTCTTATTCTGCCATTATTTCTAATTCTTCAAGACTAATTATTTAGATCCATTTTAACATTTTTTTTTAAATTTTATTTATTAATTCAAAAGATTCCTTTGGAGAGTTTCTACCATAAAGATGAATATAATTATCTGTATTATTTTTACTTATTTTCTACAAGAGCTAGCTCCGTAACTTTATTTAATAAATTAATAATAGATGTCAAACTTTGTGTATAATTCATAGTTGATTTTTCTTAAGATTTTCGTTAAGTTATTTTAATAATCTAATTATAGTATTACTCTGTTCGATAATTATTTGTAATGCAGTACTATTATTTTAATTATCTTATTTGACTTGTTCGGTGTATCTCATGCTCATACATCAATATTGGTAAGATTGAAAAATCAAACTTTCGTACCAATTCTAAAACACGCGCACAAATGATAATTAAATTAATAATAAATTAAAATTCAAGCGTTACAATAATTTTATATAACTTTTGAACTTATGTTTTATTTTTATATTGTCTTCGAGGGTAAATTGATTCAAATTTAATATTTTAAAAACTTGGATGCGGGTCATTACTATGTAACTCCCGCTGCTGTTCCTTCTTGTGGCCCATACAATGCCGTATTAAATCTGAGTCAGGTTTTCCATATTTACTACTATTAATATAAGCTCTATATAATAATTAATGGATTGAAAAATAGATTGAAAAACAGAGGAAGATTTTTCAATCCACTGATTATTATATAGAGCTTATATTAATAGTAGTAAATCTGGGGAACCTACTCACATAGTGACCATTAATGGCTTCTCTCATGTGCCTCAATTGTAACGTATGTAACAAAATCACAACATTACATCAATGTCGGTTTCGGCATGAAAATTGGGCGAGCATAATAAATATATCAAGTGCATATGGTATACTTTTCATAATTTTTTTTATAAAATTCATACTTGAATACAAAATGTCGTAACTTTTCATCACAAAAGTCATGATCCTTTTTTTTTTTTTTTTTACTTCTAGACTACATCCTATGAATTAAATCAGTGATTTTCCCTAAATCATACCTGTTATTTTTAACGGATTTCTTTTTTGTTGTTTGTTTGTTTTGTTATTTGGTTGGGATGGTCCTTTGGGGTCTTGATTATATACTATTATTGTCTTTTATTAATATAATATTTTTCATGTTCTCAAAAAAAAAAAAAAAAATGTCATAACAAAAATCATACTGTCATAACATTATCATCTTTAATTTTGGAATGCACATAAAAAATTCGTTATTTATAACTTTACTACAAAATGCCAAAACACATCACAAATAATCATAATTCATCATAAAAAATTATAATTTTTTTACCATGTACACTATCTTAAAAAGTGCACATTATATATTTCTCCTTTTCCTATAAGCTTAAAATCTCCCCATCACTTTCTTTGGTTTGAGTGATTTGAAGGGAAAAAAAGAAATTGAGAGAAATGGATTTCAAATGAAAAAAAAAAATGGGAAGAAATAGAGAGAAACACATTTATCTCATAACCCATATTTTCAATCTCTCCAAGAATGGAGAGAACTAAATATTATTTTGTTATAATATCAAAACTACAACAAATAAAAAGACTAACACCTATAAAAACATTAATTTGGTAATATAACATCATATCATTTTTTTTATTCTCTCTTATCTATCCAAACAAAATGGAAAGAAATTATAATCTTTTCTTTTCTTTTCTCTCCTAAGTCACCAAACTATATGTTTTCTAAAATTCTAACATCAAATCCATTGATTTGAAATTCATCCATCCAAATGAAATTTAAAAGGTAAGCTTAATTTTTTCAGCATCAGCTTCCAGATGAGCAAAAATAAATTTAAAAAAAATATATTCAAACTGGAATTACTACGCCATTTGTCACTGATTAAGCTTTTAAACATTCTACTTGGTTAGAATATCTACATGCATTATTGACTTCCATATATGTTTCAGGATCTCACTTACACCTACAACACTGCAACATTAAAATGATACGCGAGAAAGAAATGGAAGGGGTAGAGCAACTTAGCTACCTGGATTCAATTGCATAAGATTCAGAGCCTCTCAGGAATGATCGGCGCCACCATATTTGGAATGCTTTACTAAGATTAGGGCATTCAGTGCCGTGTTTGGAGAAACATCGGAACCATTCCATAAACAGCACGTATTGATGCTTCAACGGAAGAGTAAGGAGCGCCTGCCCCATGGCTTCCTCCAGTTCCCTCATGTCTAGCCCCTTTCTGCATCTTTGCAACCAACCAAAGTCCAACAGCATTGGACTAAACCATGCCTCAAGTAGCCCTAACCTTACTTCTGACCGGCAATGCAGTTTTCTGGTCCCTAGCGCAATGAACAACATAGCCGAAACCCGGCTGAGCTCATACCTAACCATTGGGGATGCACTCCCATGCATACAAAGCAGCTTCCCTTGATCTGCCCACATCTCCACAAACTCCTCCGCCATTTGCCGATCAAGCAGGATCTCTAGGAGCCAGTTGATATTGTCAACCTGATTTGAGATGCGTTCAATCAAAGGCTTATCTGTCTCGACCTTTTTTCCCAACTTCCTACAGCTGTTGCCGTTGGTAGTTCCAGAGGCCTCCTCTAACAGGACAACCAGTGAACTCAAACAAGACTGGCAAACGACATATAGATCATCCTCATCAATGTCTGCATAGTGCTTCTCATAGATTGAGCTTTTGCAAAGGAGACCCTTGACTAAGGACTTGAGCTCATTCCTTGCATTGGCACCAGGGCAAGTGGTGATGGACAATACCAACTGTCTAGCTAAATTTCGTTGTTGCGAATCTGCCGAGTCCAGTAAATAGAGTCTTGCCAGGATGTCCCTAGTTGCATCATCATCAAGCTTAAACCTATTAAACAAGCTCCTCAGTTTCTCCTCTTCTTCCTCATTCCAAGGCATTGCTTCGAGGTATCTTAAACAGGACAAAACACCCCTGGTGAACATGATGACTGCTGATACCTAACATCAACAAGAAAGAGTGGTGATTATTCATGATAAAAACACCTTACAACCAAAGAAATAGTTGCAAAGTCAGGGATCCAGCTAAGATTAGTCATAATTTAAATGCATAACCACAAACATACCACAATTCCGCTTGCTTCTTTATAGATATATATATACATATACGAAATTAAGAATGTTGAGTCAAACAACTCTTCTATAGGAGGCATCTAATGGTTTTGTCAGCTTTTGAAATTAAAAAGTGTTCGTTCCTCATGAGACTTGAGAAAATAGCCTCATAATGTAACTCTGCCGCCCCTCTCCAACTTGCAATTCGTTATCAAGTGTTTTTTTTTTTTTTAAATTTATGTTTTAAAATGTACAATTGTTATGCATACAACTATTTAAACACTGAGTAAAATAAAAACAATGTAAAAGTGGTTTAACATCTACTCATATTTCACATGACAGAGGATACAAATTTTCATTTATAAAATTTGCCAGCTTCTTTTCTAGAAGTACTTACTTTGTGTTTCTGAATCCACTCTATGGATAGATACACCGATTGAAAAATCCAAATGTATCCTTCACAATTTTACTAGTGTCAGTAACAAGAAAGGAGTTGTTGTGACCCCTATGCTCCACATTATGTATCATGCTAATGCTTTTCCTTTAAGGATTTTCCACACAGTTAACAGATAGAAATTCAGTATGTAACCTTGATAAAATCATACTATTCATATAATTTATGCTGATTAAACAACATTTAATCAGGACATGTATTGTTCTACTATGCACAGCACGAGAAGCTCACTGCATAGTAGTGAGAATAGGGATGCTGTAGGGCACATGGGACGTGGTATATTGTCATAGGCTAATGCAGATAATGAATTAGAAAATTAGTAATGCAATCCACAAGAAGAGCAAGAAAAAACAAAGTTAAAAAGAGTGTTTGAAAATTGCCATGATTTCAAGCTACAAGTGTTATTAAAATCTTATTTTATGGTTATTTTACATTTTTTAGAGTTCGCAAAATTTCTAGATATGGGTTATGTGGGTCACCCATGAGTTGTCTTGTGAGTCAACTTATTAAATTAGTTTTTATTTATGGTTTTATTTGGTCTTAAATAGGTTTCAAAAGTCAAAATTTTAGTAGTTTTCTATTTTGGAATCCTAGTTGGTTAATGAAGTCTCTAAAATTTATATAAAAAGTCAAGTAATACTTCTAATTCAAGAGAGTTGATATTTTAGCAAATTTCAAAAGCTTTGAAGCTTTCTTATGGATTGTGTGATGCAATCAAAACCTGGGTGTGATGCCTAAGGCCTCTAGGAGTGATTCCAAGAAACTAACTTCTTCTTCTCCTTTCTTTCCCTCTTGTATTTTCTACATTTTCATAGCCCGAACACTGTTCATGGGTATTGTTCACAGCCCTTGAAACAGCCCCTAAACAGTGTCAAAATCTCATCTTTTCATGCTTAAACTCTTACCCTTTATTACCCCATACAAACCCTTCAAAACCCTACATTTTATTGCGATTTCAGCAATAAACCCAATCAAAATCAGCCCCAAAAGCCCAAATTTGCTGCTATCTCCACTTGTCCTACATCGGTTTAGTATCAAAGCTTAAGGTTTCACCATGATATTTACACATTATGGAGATCCTATACATGCAAATTGACTTGGGAAGAGGGTAAAGCGCTTCTTAGAGAAGAAATTCGTCTACGAGATCTTCTAGATGATTTTCTTGATCAATTGTATACTCTTGAGCAAGGTGATATGCATGTAATTGATTATACAAGAAAATATAAGGAATTATTTATCAAGTCTGCAATGGTAGAAAGTGAATGGATGACTATTGCTCGTTTCAAAAGTGGGTTGAGACCTAGAATTAAAAAAGAAATGTCTCATGCATATTTGAAAGATCTCGAAGATGCTATTGAAATAGCTATACAATTTGAGTTTTTGCAAAATTTAAGGAGAAATTTACAGTTTTGAAGCCTATGCATAGTGCGAAGACTGTTCAGCAAAAGAAACCAACAAAACTCCTTAAGAAAGGGCTAAATTGCCACAAAAAGATGCTGAAAAGCCACAACAAGATGCACCAAAGCCTAATATTGTTCTTAGGGATGAAATCCCTGCACAATTGAAGTTGCAAGCCAATGAATAAGTTCAAAATTTTCCTAATGTGAAAGATGACCAGATTTTGAAGGACAGCGAGGCTCTTACTGATGATTCAAAAGCAAAGCAAAATATGCCTTCAAAGGTCACCAATGTGTAGCTTGAATTTTCTAATTTGACGCCAACAAAGTCCACTAATGAGCCTCTCTACCCATGAATAATGTCCAGCATGTGCCAGTCACAAAAGGATTGCAAGATTGAATTACATGATGATGTTTTGGTTGAAGAAAAGGTTAAGAATATGGAATTCATGATTGCTGCTATGAATTGATATATTCAAATCAAGCATGAACAAGGAATTGCAAAGCCAAAAGATAATGAAATGAATAGGCAGAATTTTGCAACCCAAGACATAGATCAATTAAAGTATTCGTTTTCTATTGATTTAGTCATTCCAGAAAAATTCTTTCGGATTTGGAAATGTGTCTTTGCTTTCATTACTACCTCCACTAAATAAGAAAGAGCAACATCACCTTGAAGATTTTAATATGAAGTCATGTATGCAATTGCAGAGCTTGTGGATAACTTCAGTACTTTAAAACTCGAGGTCAAGTTTTTTTCAACCGGGGGAGAATGATGCAATCCACAAGAAGAGCAAGAAAAAGCAAAGTTATAGAAGTGGCAATATTTACAAATTTCCATGGTTTCAAACTACTAGTATTATTAAAATCTTATTTTATATTTAGTTTATGTTTTTTTAGAGTTATAAGGTTAGGAATATTTTGGTAATTTGCATAATTTCTAGATATGGGTTATGTGGGTCACCCATGAGTTATCTTGTGAGTCAACTGATTAAATTAGTTTTATTTTATTTATGGTTTTATTTGGTCTTAAATAGGTTTTAAGAGTCAAAATTTTAGTAGTTTCCCATTTTGGAATCTTGGTTGGTTAAGGAAGTCATTTAATACTTTTAATTCAAGAGAGTTAATATTTTAGAAAATTTCAAGAGCTTTGAAGTTTTTTTATAGATTGTGTGATGCAATCAAACGTTAGGTGTGATGCCTAAGGCCTCTCTAGGAGTGATTCTAAGAAAGTATCATCTTCTTCTCCTTTCTTTCCCTGTTGTATTTTCTACACTTTCACAGCCTAAACGCTGTTCACGGGTATTGTTCACAGCCCTTGAAACAACCCCTAAACTCTGCCAAATTCTCATATTTTCATGCTTAAACTCTTACCCCTTTATTACCGCATAAAACCCCTTCAAAACCCTATTTTCTTATTGCGATTTCATCTATAAACTCAATTAAAATCAGCCACAAAAGCCCAAATTTGCTGCTGTCTCTACTTGCCTTACATTAATAAGCTTGTTCTGCTTGAATTGAAGGATACAAAGATTGCACAACTAATCCAAAGCATTTTTTTTTTTAATATTTATTTTCGTTTTGATAAATAGCCAATCATAAGAGTTTTAAACATTTAATAGAGGTGATCTGCCAAGTAAAGGACTGTTTTTTTCCAGCTGTTGATTAGGTCTGTTATATGAAAGCTCCGACACTTCAAAAGTGGGGACACAAATTAGTTTCCAAAAGTTTTTTCCACTCTCTTCTTTAGTGTTTTTGATGGATATTGGATATTGGATGTTGAATGTTTACTAACTTTTTTTTTTTTTTGATAAATTGAATGTTTACTACTTTTTCCTTAGATTTAAATAATTAATAGATAATTCATAAAAAGGGCCTAAACGATAAGAGCTAACTTGAGAACGCTTATATATATATTGAATTAAAGCTAGTTTTTGTTCATTTCGATTGTTTGTTGATGTAATATTAATCTACATAATAAAAATATAGACTCAACCCAAAAAAAAAAAAAAGAAGCACCACCACTACAAAAAAAAATAAAAATAAAAATAAAAACCCATTTTTTTGAAATCACGGTGTCCATGTGCTTGTCCATGCTTCTTAGGATCTATTTGTTGAGGTTCTCATTTCCCTTTTTGGTGATGCTGACTAAAACACAACTCAAGAAGCCTTACTTCGATTTGGCTAGGGTTGATCTCATAAATCCATATTCACGGTTCTATGAAAACTGAGAAGTCATATGCTCATTCAAGTTCAAGGCACTTATGCCATTTTTATCAGCCCAACCCAAATTTCTTTGACCTTCCAGCAAGGAACATGAAAAGAAGAAAAAGGGAAAAGTTGGAATTTCAAATGAAGTACACCTAGAGCTTTTATGCAATCATGCCCTGGGTTATATTGTCTATTTTTTTTTATGTATTTTATAGATTACAGCATGGTTTTAAATCACAGTATTGGTCATCGCAACAGTTTTACTGCATGTATTAGTCATTGTGTAATGGGATTCAAAGAACAAGCTTGTAAATTTTTTTTGAGCATTAGCAAATGCCAAAGAAACTTATTGATAGGCATCTTCTGAGCATTCTAATCATATTATCACAATTTGAAGGTTTCTAATGGTTTTTCATCAATATTGTAACAACCAAAAAAGATGTTTTCTATGGTTATATTGAATTTTATGTTTGATCTCAAGGCCAAAAAGTGGAGAAGCTCATTAAGTAGGTGTTTGGGAAGAACTAAAAAGTGCACTTTTTTTTTACATACATACACTTATTTGGGTCAAATCAATCAATATCTATCAAACATCTCCTCTCTATTTTTCTAACCACTTTCTCTACTTTTCTACACATTTTTTTTTTATAAAACGTCAAAAAGTACACTTATTTAGAACATCCAAACCACTCCTAAGTAAGGGAATTTCATTGCTATGATAATTAGAAAAGCTACTAGAATAGACAATTCATAATAATAAAGCAAACACAAGCCAATATTTTGTGGTACAACAACACTAATGGCCAGTACATGCACTAACTACAAGT